GTCATAACAATGTATTATCAACATTAGCATCTTCACTGTCACACTCCACTAGTCACAAAGCCAACGCTGTGCAAACAGGGACTAAATCTGCTTCAGTGCTGTACATGTAGGCACATACTTATTGGGAATATTAACTTAAAGCAGGGTTCAAGTATTCCGCTTGACGGAGACCTGAGAGAAGCAATCATCTCAGAATGAAGCAGGGGAGAATTTGAGAGGGAACAGTAAAAACCTGTATGGTTCTTTTTTGTCTGCCTGCTTCTGCAAGCTGTTTCAAGCAGGTTCAAGGGGTCTGTCACTGCACAGCCTGCAGTGTTACAGCTTACAAAATAGTTTCATGATCAGCTGAGTCTGGCACAGATTTACTCTGCTGAAAACAGGATTGCTCCCCTTGGCTTCAGCTGCTCAAGTCCTGGCACTAAGATTCGCATCCAGCCATATGGCAGACTGGCTCAGGGAACCATTTGGCTGTAGGCTAATCATTCGTGGGGACCTCAGTTATTTTTCAGCTAGATCAGTTCCCCGACTCAGTTCACTGCATGGCTGCACGAACACTGGTGCTGGTGTAAGGAAATGGGGCACAAGTAAGGGGCCAGGAATGGGGAGAAAGACTGAAAGGAGTTCCAGGCTGCCCTTCTCAGTGCTGGCTTATGCCAGGTTATCATGGTGTCAAACTAAGGCAAAGATAATGTTCTCAAAAGGTTGCTGAACTCTGATAGCGGTGGAAAACGTTGGAAATTGGAATGTTTAAGAAGCTGGTCCTCCTCCAGTTATGCAAAAATCTAAGGCAGATGGAAATGTCTTAAAAAGGAACCTTTTAAAACCAGATACTCTTAATGCCAAGCCAAAGCAGAAAACAGCATTCTGCAGCTTCTTTGCATTCTGAATGCACTCAGATGCAAGAACTCACGATCTGCTGCAAACAGAAATAAAAAGAAGTAGCTGCAAGAAGACAAACCAATCATCACAAACTGCAAAGTACATCACATTTTAACGAAATACTTTCTATCTAAACAGCGTCAGGAATTCCCTTTTAATGAAGACTTGCAGATAACTGAGGATATAGCTTTAAGTTTTGCAGCGTCCCATAAAAACACTTGAAAGTGCCCATTGCTGTTGGTGAATTTCTGTATGCCGTGCATCAGAGAGAAAAACAATCCCTTAAAATGCTGCAATTTGATTTTTACACAACTATAATTTATTTAGAATTAATAAATTTGTTTTATATTTCCCAGCAATTTTAATTCTATCTGATTAGAGGTCTTATTCTTTACCTATCATATTGAAGCATAAGAATGTTTTCAGTATTCTCAGGCAGAAGGGGAAAAAAAGGTCCAAGGTCACAGCTGGAGGAGCTGGGCCGCAAACCAGTCAGCGCACATGAACATTTGCATGGGTCCAAGCTCTCTGAGTAGGGCTAAAACCACTAAGGCAGCTGCTCGGTTTCCTGAGGTATCTCCAGTGGTGTAATGAGAAACCACAAGGAGCACGTATAGAGAATATTTACACTACAAATCATAAAGAGTAAATGCCAAGGGAAATTCTGCTTCCCATATCTTCTAATAAATGAGGAGAGACACATTTGAGATGAAAAGGTCACCAAGTTTTAAGAAGGATAAAATGAGCTTTTTATAGACTGTATGAGCTGAAGTGTGGAACTTGCAGCCTTATGACATTACTCAAGGAAACACAGATGCCACAAGTTCATACACTTTTGAACAACTCTACTGCAGGAACTATGATAATATCTATGATGTTACACTACCAAGAATAAATGTGCCTTGTTCTAACAGTTGTTGACTTTCAGAGTCCTGTAAAGCACACTGAAAAATGCCAGGAATTGCACTTCCACTAAAAAGGCTCCCAACTTCTTTTACTGAGTTTAAGAGGATGAAATTGCAGTATACAGACATCACACTATCATGACATTAATGTTTCAACTTGATCTAGTACTTGATCTAGAGGCTGGCAACCCTGCCTGTGCCAGAGGGATGGGAACTTGATGATTCTTGAGGTCCCTTCCCACCCAAGCCATTCTATGATTCCACGACTGACTTCCAATCAATCATATTTTTAATAACTGAGAATGAAGAAGAAAATATGGGAGATCAATCATTTGGATACAAACCAGGATAAAACACAAAGAGTATTACTGCATTTCTGGCCTCAAGTATTATTTACCATATAATTTCAACTACCCTACTCTTTCGAAAATCAGACGCTTAACAGAACTGTGGAGAATAACTGGCAAAACATGGAAGAAAACATAAAAGCACAATCAATATCTGGGAAAATAAGAGAAAACTGTGAAACGCAAAAAAGAATATTTTCTGAGCAGCAATTTAGATGATCAAATCAATCTTCCTTCCCCCAATTTTCTATTAACCTACTAAATGTTAGTCATGAAGTTCACAACAAGCCAGATTAACACATCTGTCACCCTATTATTTCAAACTCTTCTCAGAAAGTACCTGCTAGTTAACACAGAACTTTCTAGCAAACTATAGTTTCATTATTTTCCAAAACATTTGCAATATTTTCTGCAAGGCTCCCTACTCCATAGAAATGCCCTTTGGAGGACAAGCCACCAAATCAGATGCTCTTAGAAAGGATTGCCCATTCTCCTTGGGGAGGGAACGCTATTTGAAATAAACTGCAAAATAAACTCCCTTTGCCAATTCATCAGGCTTTCAGAGAAAAGCCACGGGATCTCAGTTCCACAGAGGGACCATTATCACTTGAAACCTCTTTGCCTGGTGTCTCTCTACATGGCTGATGCTCCCATAAGGACAGCTCACACCCAAGGTCCACCATTCTCTGCAGCAGCAGACCAAGATAACTCATTCACTGTTGACCTCGGAAACAAAGCTATCTAGCAGAGACAGAGCTTTCTCTCTTTCCTTTCTGAGTCACCATGCTCCTTTCTCTGTACGCCTAAGCAGCATTGCAGTGTGGGCCAGCACAACAGCTCTTCCCATATTTTGGTTTCTTTTTGGTAGTCCAGAAGACAGCCTAATGAAGGAAGGCCCACATGAAAGAGAACACAGCAGACTAAAATAATGAGTCTGGCTCAGAAGGGCAAGAAGTGTTTTTACACATCACAGTCAGTTTGCTAGCCTTTGTACAATACTGTAACCTATGACATTTGTTTGCCCACTTGTTCTTCTATCTGTCTGCATTTCACATTACAAGACAAATTTTAAAGAACTAACAGCACACTAGTTTATTAAAGAATTTGCAAGACACTTAATAAGCACTTTGTGCACAAATGCAAACATCGTGTCATTAAAGAACACTGCTTGTGAAACAGAAGACATTGCAAACTCTTCAGTCCTAAGACAACCTGACATGCATAAAATAAAGGGCTCTGTCTTGAACCACATTCTTCTATTAGCCTGTGCTGAGCTGCTTGCAGAACCACACTAGCTGAAGGTCACTTGTAAGAGGCTTTGGAGGTTTGGAAATGCTCTGTGTGTTTAATATCTTACATGCAACATGCAGGAGAGCCCTGAGTATGGCACTCTTGGAAAGGCTCAGTGTAAGGCCGCCCTCTGACGGCAGCATTTCCTACAAACAGTCCAGTGCACAGCAGGATGGGCTGCACACAATTCCCAAGGCAGAAGAAACATGTCAGAGCCTGTTCTCTTACAAGGAGCATGATGTAGACATCAGAATACGTTGCCCTAACCTTTCCACTTGAGGAGGGTAAGTACTGTTTCCAACTTGCCTTCTCTGTCAAAATGGCAAAAGCATCATTTCCTCATTGTCTACACAATGCACTGGAATTTTGCTGCACTTCACTACTGGACTCAGAAGGCACTGAAACTGGATTCTGTGTCCCTTCTTTCGTTCACTGGCACCTTGAAAACTCTGGCCTCACTGAAGGGCTGTGATAAGCATCACAATAGTCTTGTATCTATCATGGCAGGAAACCAATTTCTAGGCCACCACAGCAGAATAATGCAGAGCAGTGCAGTGTTCACTTACATCCTCATACATACTTTTTTTTCCTTTCCAACCCCACCTTTCCCCCACTTAAATCTACCAGGGAGGGCTAATACAGAATTGCTGTTAGTCCTGTGCTTGGAATGAGAAAACAGCACAGCCCTGCTGGGCTAATATAAAACAGACTGCAATTCACAGCAGAGTCTTATCTGCACCTGCAAATCACACAATGATGTGACACTCAGGTATTGCTGACAAAGACCATACAAATTCAAAAACCACCAGCTTTTCTCTGAGGTACGAACTAATGTATTGATTACATATCAGTATCACTTACAAACAGTCACGGTATATAGAGATGGAAATATCTCACGGTATTGCTTGTTGTGTGCTGCGCAGAAAGCATGTTACACAGAACGCTGGACTGTACCTGCATCTGCAACTTCAGCAAATATATATAAACATAACATTTTGTAAAGATGCCACGTACATGGTTGTTTTTTTGGGGGGGGGGTTGAGGGCAGGCAGGAGAGAGGTGTGAAGTGAAGGTGGACAAAACACATTTCAAAACTAGTTCGAGGACACCATATCCAATTCTGTTGTAAGGTGGGAGCTATTATAACCATCATCACATACCACAATTTAACATCCAACACACTCACGTGGAACTTCTGTGCTATACTTCAGATGCTTGCCATTTTGAAGGTTCATACTTATACAGAGCTGAAGTGGCAGCACTCATAGAGGCAAGCATTTCCAAACACCTACTGCAAACTCAAAGGATAATTTCTGTACTTCTTCTAGTTGTTACTGCAAAGCTGATGACTGTAAGTGGTAGACTAGAGTCAGAATTCAGAGTATGTCCATCTCTGCTGCATGTAATTGTGGAAAAAGTAGTATAGCTGATTGCACCTAGCAAGATGATAATCTAGATATTAATTGTACAGTAAAAATGATGCACTTTGTATTGCATGACCTTCTCAGTTTCCTTCTGTGTGCATCTGTACCCAGTAGATGTAACTGAAATAATGGACAGGCTAAAGAGGGTGGCTTACCTTGCGTTGTTCCATCTAACCCCATGAGACACTTCATCGCTCTGATGATTTGCTCTGCCACAGGTGGGCACATAGATGTGGCGTACACAGCACTGTGAGAATGAGTTCGTAAAAAGTCCACGAGGCCCTTAGACAAGGGAAACAAAGTATGAATGAACTTGGAGGTGCCCGGACATCACATCTCCCCTTTAACTAACACAGAGTGAGAAAGTGCAGAAAAAAGAGAAGGTTTCACCAGCTGTTTACTTTCTTGGCCGCTCCCATTAATACACAGCCTGAAGAAACATTAGGCAAGTGCAAGCACTTTGCAATTTAAGTGAGGCAATTACAGCTGAAATAAAACAATGTGTATGCGCTGAGACATTATAAAGGAGCCAAAATCATGTAAAGGCCAACGAAGAGCTGCTTTTAAAATACTGTTCAGTCCATCCATGAATGGGAAAGAAATAAAACTTACATGGCAACAGCACAGTTTCCCTGCCACAAGATCTAATGCAGGAAAAGCAGCCCTACTGGAATCTGTCTTTGGCTATTAGCACACTCACTTCTTACAACATAAACTTCCTATCCTATTAGTGTGACAGGTCCAGTCATGTTACAATCTGTAGAGCTGCTTTAACACTTCCCTGCATATCTAAGAGCACAAACCACGATCCTAACAAAAGCACTGCTGTGCTGCAGGCATGTTTAAAGTACCAGTATCTCCTGAATGCAGGGATTGAGTAGGAATTCAGAACTAGATTAAGACTACCACTACTACAACAGTGCATATTTATGAACATATGTAAATTGCTGAGTAACTGTCATTGCACCAAAAGCTAAATGCATGGTAGTGAGAAAGAGATGATGTCTGCTTGAAACTATGCTTTGATAAAAAAAATGCCTCCAGAAAATAAAGATACTGACACAAATTATTGCCATAAAAGTTGCTTAAATCTATGCTGAAACTTCAGTGCTAGGAAAAAAGATTTATTTAACTTTATATATGTTGTGCACTGTTGCATTGCTACACTGCAATTGTAATCCTATGGGTTTAACCAAGCAGCTGAGAAAGCTTCTGTGTTCTTACTGACCCAGCAAAAAGAACCCCTGTAAGTTTATGGCTGCATAAATGAAGGTAGGTGAACAGCTGCTGCCAAGGCCCAGAAGCCTGAGGCAAAGCTTAGTGACACACCAGGTGTGAAAAGAGTGACCACTTTCCTTTAAGAAAACTTCCAAGGATTAGATGATGAATTGCTATAGATGTTTCTTCACAGGTTCAGGCATCCTATCATTTCTAGCTTTATTAGCCAATTTTCCTTTGTAAAAGTCAAATCTTCAGATATTAATTCAGGAAGCAAACAAAAGGAAGTTGATTCTTTATGCATTACAGTAGTCTGTTTTAAGATCTCCAGGTGCAAAATCTGCCAAAGATGGTGAGAAATAGATGCTTCACACTTTCTTACATCCCTTTTATTCTACACAAGGGCTTCCTACCTTCCTGACAATATCCATATGAGCTGTTTGACTAGGCTATCTCCTCATTCAGTAAACTACTTTAGAAATACATTCCTGTATTTTTGAGGGTATGAAGAGGGTAAAAATCCAGCAACTACTTGACATCTTTGCTAAGCAGTAAAAATGATGATGTTTCACAATGGCATTGATTACACTTTCTCTTCTCCTACACTCCCTGTTAAAACAAGTTCAGCTCTACTTTCTGTTGACAAGAGGTTGTTTTGTCAATGCATGTGGAGAAATTGAGATCAAAGAGGTTGCTATTGCGAGAGATCCTCAAGTAAATCCTCTTTCTCCATCCTAAAAATGCAGCTATGACAATCCACAACTGTTCAGGAATTTTGTAACAGTGGATGAAACTGTGGCTTCAATTTCTCAATCTTGCTCCACACACTGTTTACAAACAGGAAATAAAGCAGCAAGCAGTCTGCATGAAAATTAATGTAGTGAGGTATATTTAGACAACCACAAGGATTTTAAACTTTTCCAAAACAAACAAAAATCATCAGGGTGGCATCAAAATACCCAACCCAAGCAAATTATGTAACAAGAACATGAGACAAAAATAAGAAATTCTGACAGTTTTTAATGTTCATTTGGGATTTAGACAAAAGTGGCGCTATCTGTAGAATTGTGCTCGTGTAAAGCAGCCTATATGAAAAGATAAAAAAGTTCATCTCATGTAATGAGAAAGTATTTCCCCCCCCGGTTTGTGTTTTCCTTTTACCTTTTTGCCAGCTATGTATCCTCCAGCTGCACCAAAGCTCTTTGTGAATGTTCCCATTAATACGTCAACATCATCAGGATTCATACCAAAGTACTCCACAACTCCTCGTCCTGTTGCTCCCACTGCACCGATGCTGTGAGCTTCGTCCAAATAGAGGTAGGCTTTGTATTTCTTCTTCAAGGAGACTATCTCTGGCAGCTGCACAATGGACCCTTCCATGCTGTGGAGAGAATCACAGAGAAACAACAAATCCTATACCTTCTTTTCTCCTTAAAATACTGCCAAAGAAGCATAGGCATTAAGTGCATAGTGCAGTTACCCCATGGAAGATCTTCTGCAAACTCCATTTGTATTTACAGTTCAAAGAAACACTGCAAGCATCTTCCAACAAGTATAAAAGTAAAATAATTTTAGAATTCAAGCAAATAAAAATAGCCAAAAAGTCCTTGAACGTTTGGAAATTGCCAACATGCCATAAAAGAGAAGGAAAAGTATAAACTGAAGGGAAGATATTCACCAAAGCAGCATATTACATCAGACTGCAAAAAATATATATATTGTAATGAATTATAAGGAACTGCTATAATTCACAGTGGTCCTTCATCCATCTACTGCTACTATGTCAACATTTCTGGATAACAGATCTAGAGAAAAATCACCCTGGGGCAGAGGAATTGGCTCTAATATGGCCCATATGAAATGCACAGACAGTGCTATGGCTCAGAGCAGCCTCAGTCTTCAGAGTGGAGAGAATCAGGGATTAGAAAAGACAATTCAAACCCAATCTTGTTACTCCTACCAGATGAATGGAAAAATGTTTCCATTTTTTTTCTGTTTATTTTCTTAAGGCCACATAGGAAACAGAAATATTCTAAGCCTCTCGTAACGGTGTATAGAAAGCTCTAGAAACAAGAAAAGGTGATATATCTTCTGTATTGGTAATTGTATCAGTAACTTAGAAGGCACAGGAGAGTTCTACAACAGAATGAAAGCTCTGGGAAACAATGGGAACGCCCTCAAATTCTATAAAGATGAAGTATGAATAGTATTGCTGTGAAGACTATTATGTCTTCAAAAACCTTTGTGGGACAACTAAAGTTGTGCTTGGATATGCTTTGGTGCACTCAGCATTCACTTCATAATGAGTTGCACGCATTCTCTTCATCAGTTCTAGTGAGCAGGCCTTAAATGCTACATACTTTCTATCAAACCCAAAGAGAGTGCACTATGCACCCCAGAAAGCAGCATTCTGTGGCCAAGCATTCTGTGTTATCTAGTGGCATGTGCTACAGCAATTTCAGGTGAGTAGAACTGTCACATTTGCTCCCAGAGGGCATGTAAAAATGAGCAGCGTGTTCAATACAACCTCTTGGCAGTTTTGTGATCTTGGGCCAGTGGCTTTCACACTCTTCTGCCTGTCACTCAAGCTGATCTACACAGCTGGAAGGTCAGTACCACAAAAGGGAAATGATGTGTTGGCAATGTTTTACAAGTTTTATACTTTTTCTTTTGTTCTCCCGAGTAAGCTTGGAAACAGCTTGAAGTTTAGGAGATATTTGTTCCCTGAAATCAGCAGTGTCCATTAGTTTCAATGAACAGTACTGGGGAGCAGCCATGGACAAGGATTGCCTGTGCTGATCGGGTTCAGAGAGCCTCGCTGTGTCCACCTGTAGGCACAATTTTGGGTGTCAGGTGACTGCTGGCAGATCCTGCCTTTCTGTCTTGTCCGGCCATAGAAGAAGCAGCCATGGGGACATGTATGGCACCACAGTTTCTTGCAGCAAAGGGCAGACAGGCTTGCACTGCAAGCTCTCAAAGACCAAGCTTTCCTTCCTGTCACCCCGTGCTGGGGACAGAGCCCTCCAGCAGTCAAGCAGCTCTTTGCAGCTCCGGGAGAAGCAACTTGAACCACCACAGGTATTTTCTTAATGAGTATAAGAGCAGAACCCACAGTCCTCACATGACCCAAAGTCAAACCATTAGTCAGCTAAAAATTAGACCAAGCTTCTGGGTGTGTGTGTTGGTATGAAGCATCCCACGTGCTAGGGAGGTCAGTTTTGGCCATCTGGTCAGCTTGCAGGATGGCTAAGTGCTCAGAGAGAAAGTACAGGGCCAAGGAGCACCACTGCAGGGAAAAAAGAAGCATCCCCCACTGTGTTTTCCAGAAATAGCTGGGGAAGAAAAGAAGAAGGATAGTTTTTCCACATTCACATGGGCATCACGTAAGAATGGCTCATGGAGATTCAGGTGAGAAACACAGCTTTTCTCTTCAAAAAGATGAGAACAAGAGCGGTAAATTAAAAATACAAAGCTTGATTTACTGTGTATTTGTCATTTTCAGTGCTGAGTTAGTGCTCCTGAAAGACACTGGCTGACATAAACATTACAACAGTTGGCAGAGATCCTAACAAGGGCCTGAAGCATCCTTGGGGCAGGTAGAGCACTGCTGGTTTTTTGTGTACGTCCTGGGCTGCTATGCAAGCAGGCCTCAGCCCTCCTGACGGCAGAGATGAGAGCTGGTTCTGTGGCACTCTATTCCTGGTTTTGCTTTTGACTCTGGAGATGATCTGTGATACAAACACCGCTCAGTTTAGAATTGCTCAGAGATAAAACTCACTTCATGTGTCTCCCTGGGTAGTCCAAGTGGAAAGTTTACTGAGTCCTTCAGTAAAAATTGATATCAACTGAGTTTAAATCAGAGAGCTGGAAGTAAATGAACTGCAGTGCCTCTGTCTCAGTCTGGCTGTGTCACTTGCACAAAACTACCAATCTGTTTCCAGATCTGCTCAGGCACATCTAAAGAGCTGTGTGCAGATGAATATAAGCTGGGTCTGCCCATGCCAGTCATTAGCATTATGTGGTATTACATCCTGTCTCACAGCAAAAATTATTAGCTTGGTTGCAGGTATGTACAGCTTCTAGACTGCAGCTTACACATCTTCCTTGCTCAGAGGGTGGGCAGAAGAGCTTGCTTCAGTATGCACAGATTTTGAATCTCCTTTCAGACATGAGGATGTAACTCAAAATTTTGGGATCACTGAATTTTGAGGCTTGGTTCAATCCCAATAAGCCACTGAGAGTCTTTCTGAAGCAGCTGATGAATTCTACAGCCAGGTGTGGTGAGAGAGTATTTGTGCAGGCCATCTCTCTTGGAATACAAGCTTGTTCCTGGCAGGATATATATTCTGACAAGTGTTGTCCAGTTTATTCTGAAACTTATCAGTAAAAACAGTTTGCAACAATCTACCATAGTAACATAGTTTCAATCTTTTTTTTTTCTGTCAGAAAAAGTAATCTACCAACACTCAACCTATTATCTCCTTCATAATTCCATCACTCAACTTCTCTACATATGCACCAGCATTACAGTCCTTTCAACATTTGAAAAATTACCTGTTCCCCTTTCAGGTTGATTTGTAATTGGGAAATCCCTCCATTCCTGACCTATTACTCCCAAAATACGTGCATTGCATTTTTTATTTATTTTAATATTATTTTCTTACATAAACCTCGGGCTTTCACACAACAATCTTTGTTTTGTAGTTTAGAGTAATAGTTTAAGGAAACTCCAACAGCCCTCACATACAGTGCCATACACTGAAATGACAGAAATGTTGACCTTTAACGCTGGTCCCTGGCCAAGGACATTAAATGTTACCCCACTCTTTTCTAAAGTCCTAACATCCAATCCCAGGAAATAAAAAAATAAACCTAATAAATTTCCTATGGTATTGTTATTGAAACTCAAAGAACTTCTACTGCATGTGAAAAAGAATTGGATAATATCCAGTTAAGCAGAAAGCTGTTTTCTGAGCTGGAAGAAAATATACTCAAATCAAATGTGGGGAAAAATAGATCATTTGTTTTGATGGGTTTCTGATACCTTACAAATTCCTCCCTCGTCCTCAGCCTACCTGACTCTTAGGTAAATATGTGTGCAAGAGAGCAGAAGTCTACCAGAAACCATGTAAGAACATAATAACTGATTAATCCTGAACTGGAAATAGTGGAAGCCAAGAAAAACATTAGCTGGATATTTAAATAATAGAAATATGATTTAGCAAGTCACTTTAATTTGTGCGTTAGACACGGCCAAAACTTGTTCATGCATTTTGAGCTGAAGATTGATGGCTGGATCGTCTCCCCATTTGGAACAAAAAGGAAATATATTTGCTCCTAGGCTATTCTGAGTCAAGAACCAGCTCTCACCAGCAGTTAAATTTACTTCCTATGATTTTTCTTTTAAGATGCTAGATACATTAAAAGCAAACAATCATATACTTATTGCTATTTGTTTGACATGTAGCTTGGGTGCTTCTCAAGCCAAAAGGCCAATTCTGCCTTCAGTTGTAACCAAAGAAAATCTGTGGCTTATGGTTTCAAACACAAGTCTGACTTCCAGAAATGTTCGTGTTGGCTAACAATGGCCCTTTTCAAATTTTGCCAGCTAGTAAGTCCAGGCTTACGAGCAGCGTAAATACTTTAACATACCCCTACTGCAAACACTAGGCAATTTTTTTTCCATACCATCAACTTTACCTTACTAAGACTATAGTGTCCCATACAGCAATATTTATTTTAAATAGGAAAGCTTAGCATTTCTTTTGCATCTCTGGAAAATACATTTCTGTATAAATTTGCCAAGTCAAACTTGCAAGTCAGGATATTTTAATTTAGAGAATGGCTCTGACCAAGTTATTTAAATTCTGTATTAGTTGTCCCCAAAGCAAAACTTATTTAATTCCTTAAAAAAAAAAAAAAAAGCAATATTAACAGTCTTAAGAATGCATTAACAACAGTCTGCCTCCTCTTAAATCCACTAGATGAATGTTCATTTGGCATCTGGCAAATCTTCAAGAGAACTAACATAGCCAACATAGGGGCTGGAAAATTTTAGTCTATTTCAAAAATCATGGGCCAAGAAAGGAAAGAACATGCACACAAAAGAAGTAAGTGTATTTCTAGAGTGTGTTTCTCCAGCTTTTTCTTTTGCATAGGAAGTGTTATTAGCTACACAGGGTACATGGCTGGTGGGTCTGTTCCCAGCAGTGCAATGAGGACAGATCAGCTGCGTGAATCTCGGGTTGGCATCGATGGCAGGGACACAGCGCAGAGGGGTGTGGTGGCATCCTCCCTCAAGCCAGAGCAGACATGCTTTGCAACCAAACCACAATCTTTAATTTCTGATCAGCTTAGACTACCAAAACAACTAACCAACCAACCTGACTACTGCTGGTGCTGGTTTCCAGTGACAGAATATTAGAGAGCTGAGCTCTGTTTTTGCTTTTGTTTTTTATTTGTTTGTTTATTCATTTTCTTTATTTTTTCTCTTTATGCCTTTCACAAGCTTTGACACTCAGGACCTGAGTGGTCTTAGAACTGTTATGCTGTTATTCCCTGTCTGCCTGGTATTTCTCTGGCAATCAACAGAAAGTAACAAACTTTTAGGGAAATATAATTAATCTGACTGTGAAATCTCTTTGAAAAGCAGTGATTTATGAATCACGTAGGTATCACCACCAACTCCTATCTAAAGTAAAAGTTTCCTTTTGGTGCTGTTCTCTGAAGCCTAGAATGTTTTTATTCAGCATCTTAACAGATAGATGTGCAGACTTCTGAAAAGGAGATGCTTTTGAAATCCAACTACAAAAAACAGAGGAAAACAAAGCTTCATACCAAACATACATCTGGAAATGCAGCTGCAAGTATTGCAACTATCAGCTAGTATGGGTTTGCCCCAGTGTTTAAGTGGATCTATGCCTCACCAATCTAACTTCTCTCTCCCTAATGGTAAATATCCAGAGTAAAGGATTTTAAACTGAACAAAGCTCAGCAGCTAGAGCATTTTCTTGGGCCATGTAACCAAAAGGCATATTTGTCAGTAAAATGTTGGTGGTCGACTTAATTTCTGCGTGATCAAAGTCCTTAAATTGAGACTTTCTTTTAGTAGTGCCAAGCTATGTTTATTTGCAGTTTTGCTCTGTTTACTCTGATTGAAAGGGAACGTTCAGCCTGTTTTGGATCAGCTGATCTGCTGCTGACCTGTTTCAGCTCTGAGTGACAGGTGTTTAGATAAGGACTAATTTGTTCTCTGTGCAGATGGAGAACGTTCGGTAAAAAGAAAGTGCTGCTGACTATGAAGTTGTAATGACATGAGACTGTGAAAGATCTCTTATAAAAAACCTAATCAACTAAACTGTACTAGCATTCCTCAGTAACACGGCGTAACCATCTGCCCATGTGTACAGACTACAGTTCAGCCCACATGAAATAATCCCCGCATGCAGACTTTACTGTTTTTTTCCTAAACCACGTCACATCCTGTGAATGAACAGTTCTGGCTCCCTTCTCTCTGGTACTACTCCAAACCCTGTCCTCCTTACTCTCACAGTGCATCTCCTGTTCACACTATATGCTTCTCACTGTGACTTGCTAAATCAACATTCAAAACAACCGAGGATCTCACTGCAGCAAGTTATGCCAGGGTTCACACCATCATAATGGAAGTTAATGTTTTAACAGGATCTCTGAAGATGCTACGTAACCTCCATTCATTTCAGACTTCGTTCAGGTACCAATGTTAGCTTCACTCAACGTATCATTGTGTTCTCAGAAGCAATAAAGAGCACTCATGTATCTAAAATGCACATACCTGTAAATGCCTTCCACAAGGATGATAATTTTTCTCCATGCTCTGTGGCTTCGAGGCTGGCCATATATTATTGCATCTCTCAATAATTTCTCAAGACTCTGCATATCTTCATTTAAAAACAAGTAAAAGGAGAAAGGAAAATATTAGCACAGATTTTTTTTTGAAGAAATTTTTTATTTTTTTTTTTTTTCCCCCGTAGAGAAAAAGACAACATTAAAAAAACAACGTATCCTGAAGATAAAATTCCTTTATTAGCAGGCTAGAATCAATAACTTTAGTTTGACTGTATTAGTTGATTTAGTTTGATTTAGTTTGACTGAATGCAATCTTGTGAAAAGTAGTTTCAAAAAGCTGCCAGTTATGTACTCTATCTGGGAAATTTCTACAGATCTTGACATATGTTTTTATTTAAAGGGAAAATGCAACCATTTTGCTTTAGTACTGAGGCTAATTGCCACCAGTTCTATATGGGTTGTTGATATTCATATCTCAAGTCTTTTGAATGAAGAACCTTCATTTGCTTCCCAGCACCATAAAGAACTTGTGAATCACAGGCACTGCTTCAGCAAAGGCTTGGATGAGGCTGCATGAAGTACATCAGGATGACAACAAGAGAAATCCTTGCCCTCACAGGAAGGAATGCCAGTGAAAGACTGCTGATGAGGGAGGGAGAGACAAATGGATATAAACACATAGCGTGGGTACTCTCAGTTGCCAAAATGCTTGGAAATAGCAGAACTTTGATACAAAGAGGCTTGGATGTTGTTAGACACTTAGAAGTTCTGAGTGTGGATCATCTAACAAAATGCTGAAAGGAAAGGCACTATGTTTTGAAAAACATAGAAAAGGCTAAAAAATAATAATTAAATCAAAGGAACAAGAGACAGATCAAAATCCAACTCTCAGTGCAGAGCCGAAATGAGGGTTCTGAATGAAGTCTCTCCAGAATGAATTACTCTGGTACTTTTTGGAAATCCAAACTGACACTTCAAAATGTTTCCAAATGACATCTCAAATAACATCTTACAGAGACTCATAATACCCCAAGGAATGCTACAGATGAGGACAAATTGTGGGGGCTGGGAAAATCAGTGGCTTTTTTTTTCCCCACAATATAACACCACTTCTTGAGTACTATATCTTAATGCGGTTATTTTTTGCTAAAATGTTACAAAACTAATCTTTAATTCTCCCAGATGAGGCAAATACATCCTACCTATATTGATGTTGACTTATAGCTTTGTTTCTGCCCGACTGTAAGCCAGCTGTTTGTACAGCACTTGTCCATCATGAATAATCAGTGACCTGAGAGATCACCAGGATATGATCTAGCTCGTTGTACCCTGGTACTTTGCCCTTTGCTGAGGTGCTGATTTCAGTGACAGATTTCTCAGGAACACCTGTGCCGCTCTGCACCTTACAGTCTAATCTCTTGACCTAACAAGACCTTGCTATATCTTACAAAGCACACTTGCATGATGAGTGGCCTCTTATTTCACCCGTGTAATCATCTGCACAGCTGGATAAGCTCCCAGATGGAAATGCTCCTACGAGTGATGCAATGCAGAGAGCACAGTGTCCACTAGGTGGCAATAAAGGGAATAAAAGTTCCTTGCTGCTTCACAGAGCGAATGTATGACCCAGCTAAACGTGTTTCATAAAAGACAACTGTTCACCTTCTCTTCTGAATAGATAAAATCTGGAAATCCTTTCTGGTTCTGAGAATTAAAGGGCTCGAAAGGATGACACAAATCTCGTGAGTTACAGAAATGAGGTAAGATTTTCAGTCACTAAAAGTGAAGTTTTCTCCACTGAATTTAATCGTCTTTTTCATCAAAATGCCTGCAGGACCTTTGAACCTCCTTTCCAAATCACACAGAGTGAGACTTAATTCAGTATTCTGTCTATATATAAATTCTGTCAACATTGGAGCTAGACTTTGGGAAAGTTAGTTTGCCAAACTTCTGAACTGAAATTGTGGCTAGAAAATTCAGTTATTTTAATATAAGACCACAGTGAAAGAAAGAGGAGAGGACAGAGAGATGAGAAATGTATACAGCTTTTTAGAGAGCTTGTTTTATAAAAACATGGATGTGAATAAATCCCATCCAATCTAGTGTGGAAGATGAAACTGCAAAGGGAAGAACATCTCCAAGTCAGGAGATGCCTGACTGAATTCTCATGTGACCGTCCTGCTTGAGTTCAGGCTGAGGACATGCCTGCTCAATGGAACAGGGCTATCTCACTTTGCTTTTGATGTCTCCTTCTGAAAAACATGTAGGGATGACTCTCAAGCCTGCCAACATATAATTTGCTTAGATGCAAATAGATTTTACTGAACATTTTACTCTTGTTTGCAGAAAGGAAATTGGAAGGTGGAGAAAATCTATTACCTTTAATCTCTCCCCCTAGAAAACTGCTTCCTTTTTTCAAAGTAAAGATGCAGTGCTTTCTGTGTTGGGACTTTCCAGACAGTGGGATATAGAGTGTCAGGAAATAAACCAGTGCAACCCCAGCCGACTTTCTTCTATCAAATTATTTGGCCATTAAATATAGTTAGACTATGAAACACTAGGACAGGGAAATGAGTTGCACAAGTCCACAGCCCATCTTGAATAAAATTAGTTATGGGGAAAATAACTGTCCTTCCTTGTTTGACCATCGCTGGCCCTGGCTTTTCAGTGGTAGAGGCAAACAACTGTTTGCCAGGCCCAGGAGGCAGGTGGTTGTAGGAAGTTCACTTGGTTACTTACTCGAAGCATAATCAAATTTGTCCTTGTCTCAGTTCCTGACTTATCCCTGAAATATTGTTTGAATTTAGAAGCTAAGTTTTCCTAAGTAGGCACAGTGGATCACCTGCATTTTTAGAAGTTAATCTGAAGTTGCATAATCCTTGTTTGGGCTCTGTCAGAGTTACTTCAATGGAAATGCCACCACAAATTGCTGCTGGGTGAAAGCGAGCCCGGACCCAGCAGGCAGCGGTGTGTCATGCTGCCTTGCAGTGTAGGTGGGACTCGGGCTCCCGCAGGGCCCTGCCTTCCCACAGACATGCTGTGCCTCCCTGCAGGGAGACACGGAGTCTCCACCCCTCATCCCCACATCGCAGCGCTGAGGACATCATCATCATTCTTTTGCGTGGGCTGAAATCCTCCTGCATGATGTCAACTGAATACATTTAATTAAAATGAAAAGGCTACTGCTACCCTTATCACAGTCCTTTCCTTCAATTTGTGTTTGCCATTCTCATTTCCAGTTTCTCAGTTTGCCTTCTTGTACAAATTCATACAGACACTAGCTACCTGCCCCTTCCCACTCTGTCCTGCACACAACCAGCCCTCTCCTCTTGTGGGCTCCTTTCCTGGTCACCATCCTGTTGTAGGTGACAAAGTGCCTAGCTCCGATCCTATCCCTCCTTGCAAATCCCTAGCAAATAGCAAAGGGAAACCACTGCAAGGGTTTCATTCATCCAAACATTACTTGTAGGACTGTAAAATACAATTTTCATTCTAGTGAAAACTAGACTTTGAGAAGTTTCTCTCTGCTGGCAGAGCTCTCAATAGCAAGTGTGTCCTTGGAGGACTTTCTCTAAAATCACAGCTTTGCCTTTTTTTTTTTGTTTTGGTTTTTAATGTCAAAGATTGGGACAGGGGGAAGGGGAGTAGTGGCTGCTGCAGCTGTCATGCAACCAAAGCCTGCCCTCCCTAACCCCCAAGAAATACGCAGCTGAGTGTAAGTGAGGAGCCTATGAAAACCTCCAGCTCACATCTGACAAGCCAGACACAGCTTTCTCAAATCAGGGAGGGCAAATGCAGACACAGCATGCTCAGAGCAGGATATTCCAGCCTTCTCACTGTGGCAGCGTCTGTGTGTGTCACAGGGAAATACATGCTGAACTGGATTAGGCTGAGGTCAACTTATCTAGTGTAATGATCTTGTCTCTGATAGTAGCCAGAGGCTTCAAACAGGACAAAGCCTTAGTGGGTAAAGTAGCTTTCATCCTGCTCTGTAAGAACTTGAAAAGTGCCCTCCTCTCTGCAATCCATGGACTACTTATACCTCTGTAAGAAACCCCCCCCCCCCCCCCAAAATTAATGAACCATCTCATACTAAACCACTGCAACCACAGAAAATTTTCACTATTTCTTACCCTTTCGTTTTATTCGCTTACTTTCTTGAAGGCACGCACATCTATTTTTATACTTCTTTCTTTTTTCCCTAGAGAATACATTTGCACACAAGTATGAGGGCCCTGTGCTATTCTTTCAGTGTGAACTACAACTACTCCAGATAGCTGAATTTTCTCTACAAGGTCTCCTTGTGGCACACATACTTAACTCCAAAGCTCTAAATTGACTGAGTAGACCAAGAAATGCCATAACTGGAATAACAGCAGCTCACCTGTTGTCCAAACAGGAAACATTTTGTACAGAATCCCAGAGAGCTCACGCCTGCATGACACACATTTGTCATCAACCATCTGATCTCTGAGAACCCAAAAATACCCCTCTCTGTTTTCACAACACTCTTACAAGGTGTGTGAGGAGGAGCTGGGAATGTCCCACAGTGATCCTCACTTTTCAGATGTGGATTCAAGCACCAGATTAGAGGCCAGATTTTCATCTACCATTGGTGCTTGGTTGTGTCTTGCAATTCCCTGCCTTCTTCATAGTATCACTTACTCTGATTGCATGGTGAAGTGCAAGTCCCTTGCAATGAAGGGAACTGGATTTTTTTTCCCTTGTGGCTTGACTTATATGTGTAGTCATGACATTCACACAGATTGCTCAAGCAATTGCAAATCTAACCCTGAAAATGTGACGGCAATTTAGTTGCTTGATGCTATGTGGGAAAAATGCAGTAGAACTAGAAAGGGCAAACAAATCCTAACTCTTATTAGGAGAGCACCTAACAGCACCTTCTTATATGAGCTGATATGAACAGAATCCACCTGGATGTAGTCAGGAACAAACTGATCCATTCACTGAATGATGCTATCTTACGCTCTCATCTCATGCCACTGTAAGACCCAGAATTGCTGTGATGGAAAACCCTTGATAAAATCACAAGTGATTTTACACTGGTGAATAGTTAGATGTTTGCTTTCGC